CGGACACAGTACAGGGATGACCAGAGACTGCAGACACAGTACAGGGATGACCAGAGACTGCAGACACAGTACAGGGATGACCAGAGACTGCAGACACAGTACAGGGATGACCAGAGACTGCGGACAGTACAGGGATGACCAGAGACTGCGGACACAGTACAGGGATGACCAGAGACTGCGGACACAGTACAGGGATGACCAGAGACTGCAGAAACAGTACAGGGATGACCAGAGACTGCAGACACAGTACAGGGATGACCAGAGACTGCAGACACAGTACAGGGATGACCAGAGACTGCGGACAGTACAGGGATGACCAGAGACTGCGGACACAGTACAGGGGATGACCAGAGACTGCGGACACAGTACAGGAGATGACCAGAGACTGCGGACAGTACAGGAGATGACCAGAGACTGCGGACAGTACAGGGATGACCAGAGACTGCGGACACAGTACAGGGATGACCAGAGACTGCGGACACAGTACAGGGATGACCAGAGACTGCGGACAGTACAGGAGATGACCAGAGACTGCGGACAGTACAGGAGATGACCAGAGACTGCGGACACAGTACAGGAGATGACCAGAGACTGCGGGACACAGTACAGGAGATGACCAGAGACTGCGAACAGTACAGAAGATGACCAGAGACTGCGGACAGTACAGGAGATGACCAGAGACTGCGGACAGTACAGGGGATGACCAGAGACTGCGGACACAGTACAGGGATGACCAGAGACTGCAGACAGTACAGGGATGACCAGAGACTGCGGACACAGTACAGGGATGACCAGTGACTGCGGACAGTACAGGGATGACCAGAGACTGCGGAAAGTACAGGAGATGACCAGAGACTGCGGACATAGTACAGGGATGACCAGAGACTGCGGACAGTACAGGGATGACCAGAGACTGCGGACACAGTACAGGGATGACCAGAGACTGCGGACACAGTACAGGGATGACCAGAGACTGCGGACACAGTACAGGGATGACCAGAGACTGCGGACACAGTACAGGGATGACCAGAGACTGCGGACACAGTACAGGAGATGACCAGAGACTGCGGACACAGCACAGGGATGACCAGAGACTGCGGACAGCACAGGGATGACCAGAGACTGCGGACACAGTACAGGGATGACCAGAGACTGCGGACAGCACAGGGATGACCAGAGACTGCGGACAGCACAGGGATGACCAGAGACTGCGGACAGCACAGGGATGACCAGAGACTGCGGACACAGTACAGGGATGACCAGAGACTGCGGACAGCACAGAGATGACTGCTGACTTTTGGGGAGGGAGGGGGAGCGGGTACCTGAATTTGACAGGTACCCGCTCTTACTTCCGCAGAGTTTTTTTTTTTATCTTACCTGTTCCTTTATCCAGCCGCGCGTTGTCTTCCCGGCTTCTGTAGTCTTCCCGGCTTCTGTAGTGTGGGCGCTCGTCGGACAGCCGGATGCCCAGTGCGCATGCGCGAGAAGCGCTGCGCTTTGTGATTGGTCCGGTGGCTTCTGGGATCTGTCATGTGTCCCAGGTACCGCCTTACCATTCACAAAGAGCACTGCTTCTTGTGCATGCGCACTTGGGACCCGGCTGTCACGCACACTACAGCCGGGGAAGACAGCGCGCCGCTGGATTCTCCTGGCGTGCCCACAGATAAGGCTCGGCGTGCCGGCTATGGCACACGTGCCACGGGTTCGCCATCACTGACCAGACGGAGGTGGGAGCAGGTACCTTTCAAAACCAGGTACCCACTTTCCCCCCACAAAATAAAATAAAGTGCCAAAAGTTAAAGGGGAGGGGAGGGGAGAGAGGCAAACAAGTGGAACTTCCCCTTTTGGGTAAAGTTCCCCTTTAGGTTTCAGTGTAAATAGAAAATCACTGTCCTGAAGTAGGCTGTTGAGAAGGATTACTGGGCTCTGTGTAAGAGACGTGGTCTTGGTCAAACAGGCCTCTCCCTTAACTCCACCAGAGAATTAGACCCACATCTCTGCAGGAGACATGAGCCTTGCCTATTGAGGAGCAGTAGTTGGGACAAGAAGGCCTGTTGGACCGGTGGTGAAAGATTGCTGCTCTAAACAGCACAACGGCTGTTATTTGCAGCCTAGTGTAGGACACTCCATTTTCTACTTCTTAGCCATGGACACTTTGCACAGACAAATGATAGAAAGACAATAAAGCATTTGTTCACCATGCTAGATGCAGGCATAGACATCTTTAACTCTTTTTCTTAAAATTTCCTGGGTTCCTGGACCTGCCTGGGGAAGATAAGTCCCTCAGCTTGCCTTCCTCAGTAGCTCAAGAGGCAACAGCTGATGAGGAAGAGGTAGCTGAGCAAGTGATCTGCAGCCAGGGGAGAGGACCTCCACTGACAGAACTGGCATGCAGGCAACCAGGCCTGAGTCCAATAGCATGCAGCTTGTTCAAAAGTCCCAGCTACAGTGGGGAGTACTTCTGATTACTCCAGCTCCAGTGGGGTGCTCCCCTTTGCCCTTGGGTTTTAGATCCCTCAGGCTGTTCACCTATGTTACCGGAGCTGCCCTGGACTTCACTGTGAGGGATACTATTTGTGCTCTGTACTATTTTAATGAAGTGGTGGGCAGCTTGGCTCTCTGTTGCTATAGGCTCTTACAAAGACTATGCTATGCAGTCACATTATCCTGATTGAGCCACAGAGACATTGCAGTGAAGAGTCCATTTCTGTGAAGTTTTCATAACCCGTCTGGATTATTATGCAGTGTACGTGTGCTATACCTATTTTGCATTATTGCTTCTAACTGTGCACCTATGTAGTGTACTGCAAGTTCCAGTGGCTCCCTATCTGGCCATTCAGCCAATTACCTATTCTGTTAAAAGACATTGAACACTGAATGCATATAGAGAATTCCATGCCAATGAATGCCAGTTCAATGAGCTTTAATAAACAAAGCCATATAATGACAGCTGCCACTGTATTTCTTTCTAGGTACCCAATGCATTCAACCTGAAAGACTGAGAACATCTTGTGGCGAAAGAAGCAGTACTGAAGGAAAAAGCCCTGGAAAGGTGATGAGTATTGCAGGTAGAGCCGATTTTTTCTTTTTTCAATTTAGACTGGGCTGGGGCTCCTTCTTTCTTTTTAAAAATAAGAGACGCTAATTTCCATATACTTAAAATGACAGAACAAGTATCAACATACTATACACGTACATGGAATTTGTCATCTGCAAAACCTAAACCCGTATGCTATGTATCATCCATATGTCATCTAGAAATTCAAATGTATAAAATACATAGCCAAGCCGAAGAAAAATTCCTAGAAACAATTATGGCTCCCATTTCTCTGCAATCTGACGTTTGATTATCTGTGGAGCCTCCTGGAAACACTAATCACAGCGGAGCCAGGGACTAAGGCTTATGCTCCTTGTAAAGTAATGAATGGCTATCTCATAATAGGAGCAGCCTGAGGTCCAGCAATCAATATACAGAGGGAGGTACAGGCTCAGAAAGCCACTAGGCTCTTATCAGTTCTAACAGACACAAGCATACAAAAAAAACCTCCCTGATATCAAAGTAATAGGTTGTTACCTCGCCATTCTGGCTCACTGAATGCTGTCCTTCCTCAGTTTAACTACAAGATCAATCTGTTAACAAAACAAGGCTGATACGGATGTACCCTCCCCTGTACTGCATGCCTCTTCTCCTTAACCTTGTGCTCTGCTATACCTCATGTATCAGCACAAAAAATATTACTACCTTCAATTTTTGCATTATTATAAATCAGAGAAACACATAGTACATAAATAAAAAAAGAAGTGTTCATATCAATAATATAATCCTAGGACTAAGGGCTTGTTCACGCCAGAATTTCAATGTTCCAGGTGCATTTTTTACATATACCTTTCCATACGTTTTGATGTTTTTCACTTTTTATTCTGATACTTATAAAATCATAAAAAAATTTTTGTTTTCATTAGGACAATGTGCATTTTGATACATTCCAGACCTTTGCTGAAAGTACAAGAACTGACCACACTGGTGTGAAGTAGAGCCATTGTAACCAGTGGTGTATTTAGGTTTCATGCTGCCATAGGCAACACAAAAATTGGCTCCCCCTATTGACCCACACCCCAGCCCCCCCCCCCTTCCACTACCACCACCCCCACCCCGACAAGAGATAAGACACTTACCTTCACAGCTCCGGACATCCCCGGGAACAAGAGTCAGGATCTGCATACACCACCAAGCAGCCCGCAGCTTCTCTCAGATCCCACCTGGTCCCCGTGCTGCATGTGTCCTTTCCTTCTTTCAGGGGATATTTCCCCACCTGAAAAATGCTGCTGCGCCCCCCCCCCCCCCCTGAAAAAATGCCGCCCTAGGCAAATGCCTTGCTTGCCTTGTGGTAAATACACCCCTGATTGTAACACGTGGCAAACATTCTGGATGCAGTTTAAAAATGTACTGGAAAGCATCTGGTGTGAACCAGCCCTTAGGCTAGGTTCACACCTATGCAGGCTGCGTTTGAGCTGTTTCTGCATTGCATTTTGTGTTGTGTTTTTGCAGCATTTTTCTTTTTTTTTTCTTGTTGCTAGGCAGATTTAAAATGCAAAACGCATAAAAAACATGGCAAAAACTCAATACATGCTTTTTTGTAGCGTTTCCATTGAAATCTATAGAACAAAAAACACAACTTTTTGCATTCAAAAAAGTCCCTGACCCTTTCCAAAAAACACACGGGGTGAAAACACGGAAATGTGAACGTGTACCTTAGGAAATCATGTTAAATGGACTGTACTGATGCAAATGCTGCAGAAAACGCTTAGTTGTGAAGCTAGGGTGAAAATAGATATAAACCTAAAAGGGCCGGTTCACATTCAGTGTATTCCAGTACGATTCCCATGCAGTTCTGTGCGGTGCAATTTCAGTCCATCAATTTTGAATAGGCTAAAATTGCACCAGTCTGCACTGCACTAAAAGTAGCGCATGCATTACTTCTGGAAACTCACTGCACCGCATTGCATGGTACTTCTGTGCTGCATTTGGGGTGTCATTGAAGTGGAGCTCCAGTCTCCTGTGAAAAAAATAAAAGCAGCTACAAAAACTGTAGCCGCTGAATTTTAAAAAACAGCCAATCATCTGTCCTAGGAACCAGAGATGTACTCACTGCAGCCAGGTTCACCGGCCATCCTCTATCCCTGGCATCTTAAAGTGTTACTAAACCCCGGACCCCTCATTCACTATATCTGGTCTCCCTGGACTCTGCCTTCACTATATCTGGTCTCCACGGACCCCGCATTCACTTTATCTGGTCTCCCCGAACCCTGCCTTCACTGTATCTGGTCTCCCCGGACCCTGCATTCACTTTATCTGGTCTTCCCCCCAGGACCCCGAACCCTGCATTCACTTTATCTGGTCTCCCCGAACCCTGCATTCACTGTATCTGGTCTCCCCGGGACCCCGCATTCACTTTATCTGGTCTCCCCCCGAACCCTGCATTCACTGTATCTGGTCTCCCCGGACCCTGCATTCACTTTATCTGGTCTCCCCGGACCCTGCATTCACTATATCTGGTCTCCCCGGACCCCGCATTCACTTTATCTGGTCTCCCCGAACCCTGCATTCACTATATCTGGTCTCCCCCACAGTACACAGAACATGGAAATGCAATTATTGTAGTAAATATAAACTGAAAAATACCTTTTCTCATCAGCAGTATAGAGCAGTCTTGTGACTTCTATTAGTGTCCAGCAGAGCATTGGTTAAAGCTTGTGGGAGGACTTTTCATTTTGCTTTAGGAGGGTGCAGAACCCTTGACCTCTGTCTGGACAGGGCTGATTGGTCCTGTGCTGATCACATGCACTCTCCCAAGAAAATAAATAAAACCTTTAGCAATACACACCAAATTGAGCAAGTGCAAAGTGACTCCACGTGATATGTCTTATCAGCAGATAAGAGGGGGGCACACTGGAAGAAGGGGAGGATCAGAGAAGACAGGATCAAACACATGTTTTTACACAATGCAGAAGATTAGCCCCTTAGGTTCCACAGTGAGTATAACAAGCATGCTTTACTGCATATACAGACTGATTTTATAGTTGTGGGTTTAGTAACACTAAGTGTGGGCACCCAGCTGTGACAGCTTGTGGCTTCACAGCCGGGTTCACAGCCCACTGCCCATGTGCGAGCAGCACTGAGCATTGTGAATGGTCCTGCAGTCCTCAGGGACCTGTCGTGTTCCATAAGACTGCAGGGGGGGGGGGGGAGAACCTCCATTTCAGGTCTCCTAGGTTATTGCAGCAGAAGTGGGAGCAGATACCTGTCAAAATCAGGTAACACCCCCCCCTGATCCCTAAAGGTGCCAATCCTTAATGGGGATCAGGGAATGAGGCCTTAAATTGGAACTTCCCCTTTTGGGTGGAGCTCCACTTTAACTTAATATAGACACCTGCTGCAGATTGTACCTTCAGTGCATTCTAAATGTGTTGCGTGAATCACATACGGAACATGGGTTTCCCGCACAGCAGCTGTCTGGTTTGAATCGACCCTAACTCATTGAAATTTGGTTTACTAAAGGACTGTGTATCATACACATTTGTCTTTTTTTTTTTAATAAAAAAAATACTGTTTTCACCTTTTTTATCCTTTGCTGCATCTCAATGCTGCTGATCTCCTACAGCCACTTTATGTCTCCATGCACTTCAATAAGGTTACATGGCATTTCTTAGAGTTCCTTCGCATGGGTCACCCTCTGAAAAGAGATTCATGGTGGCAGGGGCTCAAGAAGTGACCCTGCCACCTCCTGAATGTCTGTTTTTTTTCATCAAAGTGGATTTCATAATAAAATACCATACTGCACCCCAACCATGATCCAACCGTTCTTGGCTCACAATTTTAGTGTGCTCCCATTGACCTCAATAGGCAATTTTCAGAATCGAAGCTGCCTGTCAAACTCTGCAGGCCGAGTTAAATTGCTACAAAGCAAAGCATCATAGCCATGGCATGTGCACAAACCTAAAGTAATGTCAATATTTCCTGAATGAGGCTTTAGGAGTAGGAGTAGCGGGTGTTAAAGCAACAGCCAGCTGGAACTGGAGACATCATAGATCGAATGCACATATTCGCCAGCACACCACAGATCGTCGAGTAGCATCCAAATCCTTATTGAAGAACAATCACATCACAGAGGACTTGTTACTTCATGTGTTCATATGCTTCATGTGCGTGTAGGCAGGTGTCCCAATACTTTTGGCAATATAGTGTGTGTGTATATATATAAATATATATATATATATATAGATAGATATATATATATATATATAGATATACAATCAAAAAATATAAATACCCCCCCTTTTTTTTTTTTTTTTTTTTTTTAGAATCGATTACATTTCCTATGTTCTCAGCTGACTAAGAGCTAGGAGAGGAGAAATGTCAGCACACTCATCTTCCCTGTGAAAGGCTGTGTGGGAGTTGGGGGGCGTGTCAGGACAAGTCTTATCATTGGATTAGAGCACACTGAGCATAGCTCACAAACTGACCATTCTGTGCTCTCATGCCTAGTGAGGTTTTTAATAGGAAAGCAGGGGGACTGGCAGGAACACCAGGGATTTCACACAAAGGAAGTGATACAAACAGAACAGGATACTTTTTCATACAGCAGGCAGATATCAGAAAAAATGTTCCCTTATATGTATTTAGTCTGTGAACCGTCTGCCTGAAAGTACAATAGGCAAACTTTTTTTTCTATTTTGGATAAAGCAATGAAGAGCTACATACCTGTAAAAAAAAAATTGCCATAGTGTCCCATTTCTGAGATTTTCCTTCACTTCCTGTTCCAAAGCCAAAACAGGAAGTGAGAGGAAATTCCAGCAAATTAAAGTGGAACTGTACTGCATCTGAGCACCACAAACCAAAATAGCTATTTAATTCATTGTAAATATTCAAAGCAAATTCATCCATCCAGCCACGTCTCCATGATTTATTTTGCTGAGAATTTATTTTGAAACACACCCCCTAGTATTTCTGGCCGTGGCCATCTTGAGCAAGGGCAGATGATCCATGTAGCATTTACTTCCTGGAATCCATCTGCCCTTAGGTCAGGCATTGGCTGAACTGAGAACACTCCCTCTCCTCCTGAAGGTTCCTGAGATGTATGACATCATTTGTCTAGGCATGGAAACCCGGAAGTAACTGAAGAAATGTAAAAAAAAAAAAAGTTTAAATCTAGTAAATATGATACACTTTCCTATCTATTTACTAATGCTAGCAGCATAAGGATTCAAAATAGTCCATGTTGATTGAGAGAGTGAAGTTCCGCTTTAAGGGAATCCCTTGGGGACCCGCAGGTCACCAGATCTAAGATGGCAGCTGCATTCCAGCATGTGTTCCAAATCCTGGAAGTGACATCAGAGGAAGTTGTGTCATAAGCCCTCGAAGCGACCAATAGATCGACTAGTTTCGACCAAGTCGGAGGTACTTCCTGAGGACAATCTATTGGTCGAAACTAGTCGAAGGCTTATGACACAACTTCCGCTGATGTCACTTCCAGGAATTCGAACACATGCTGGAATGCGGCTGCCATCTTAATTCCCATTCATAATATACAAAGCTGAATACACCTAGTGCCAGGAAAGGCACTTTTTTGTGAGTGGAATTTCTATTGTTTGACCCCATATTAAAGTTTTATACAATTTCACACTATGGGATGTCTGGTTTTGTTTTGATTTATGCTGAAAATATGAAATACTGCCTGTGGAGGAGAGGAGTTGCCTAACATTGATGCAGATCTAGTGGAAAGTTATTGGTTACTACCAGTAACCACGGTTATAAGGGCAAAGGAATATCTGCCATCAGGACCGGATTGCAAACTGGGATAGTCCCAAAAAGTGAGTGTGACTTACCTAGAGATAGGTGGTCATGAAATGACGGTGAGTTTACATCTATGTGGGGCACCAGTATGAACACAGTGAAGCACTTGTCATTTCAATATGGAGTATCACCGTTAAAGATACAGCACCATTGCACCAATTATTCACGTTTGGGATTGAATATTAATATTTGTATTTTGCTCAGCGCTATCACATTAAAGACTGCAAAGTTTATTTTGTCTATTTTTGACCTTAGCGCGGTCCATTTTTTAAATATATACTCCTACACCCACAGTTGATCCAGAGGAAGGCAAAAAAAAAACCCAGCAAAGCATGATCCAATTTGCTCCCGCAGGGGAAAACAAATCCTTCCTGATCCCTCGAGAGGTAATCGGATATTCCCTGGATCAACTTTACCTATAAATGTTATATCCAATTATATTCTGTGTATCCAAGAAATAATCCAGGCCTTTTTTAAAGCAATCCAAGGAGCTGGCCAGAACCAACTCTTGTGGGAGTCTATTCCACATTTTCACAGCTCTCACTGTGAAGAAACCTTTCCGTATTTGCAGATTAAATCTCTTTTCCTCTAGAGGTAAAGAGTGCCCCCTTGTCCTCTGTGATGATCTCAGGGTGAATAGCTCTGTACCAAGTTCACTATATGAACCACTGATGTATTTATACATGGAGATCATATGTATTTATACCCCCCCCTTATGTATTATACATGGAGATCATATCCCCCTTATGTATTATACATGGAGATCATATCTCCCCTTATGTATTCATATCTCCCTTATGTATTATACATGGAGATCATATCCCCCCTTATGTATTATACATGGTGATCATATCCCCCCTTATGTATTATACATGGTGATCATATCCCCCCTTATGTATTATACATGGAGATCATATCCCCCCTTATGTATTATACATGGAGATCATATCCCCCCTTATGTATTATACATGGTGATCATATCCCCCTTATGTATTATACATGGAGATCATATCCCCCCTTATGTATTATACATGGAGATCATATCCCCCCTTATGTATTATACATGGAGATGATCATATCCCCCCTTATGTATTATACATGGAGATCATATCCCCCCTTATGTATTATACATGGTGATCATATCCCCCCTTATGTATTATACATGGCGATCATATCCCCCCTTAATCTCCTCTTCTCAAGAGAGAATAAATTCAGTTCCTCTAATCTTTCCTCATAGCTGAGCTCCTCCATGCCTCGTATCAGTTTGGTTGCCCTTCTCTGTACTTTCTCCAGTTCCCCAATGTTCTTTTTGTGAATTGGTGCCCAAAACTGAACTGCATATTCCAGATGAGGTCTTACTAATGATTTGTACCGGGGGAAATGATATCTCTCTCTCTGGAGTCTATACCTCTTTTAATACAAGAGAGGATTTTGTTTGCTTTAGAAACCGCAGCTTGGCATTGCATGCCATTATTAAGCTTGTGATCTACCAGAATCCTTGTGATCTCCCAGATCCTTCTCCACCATGGATTCCCCCAGTTGTACCCCCCCTAGTATGTATGATGAATGCATATTCTTAGCCCCCAAGTGCAGAACCTTACATTTATCAACATTAAACCTCATTTCCACATAGTTGCCCAATTAAACAGTGCATTGAGGGCGGCTTGTAAGTTGAAGACATCCTGTAAGGACGTTATTCCACTGGCACAGCTTGGTGTCATCTGCAAAGACTGAAATGGTAAACAGGATAAATAGAGAGGGGGAATCTCCTTAACAGGGAAACAGACAGCAATACAAACTGACTAGGGTTCTAATCCATCTCAACCTTTTTCCAAAACTAAAAAAAAAGGTTTTGCCTACAGTTATACTTTGCAAACAAGCTGGAATAGTTGCCAGATGCATCTATAAGTTACAATTTTCTGTTACTCTAAAGCAAATATTCTGGCATTGGGTAATGCACAGAAATAAATCACAAATCACAAAAGTGATGAGTAACTTCAAAGTGAGAAATAACTAGGAGATATCTGGCCCTAAAGTAAGCACCTTGCAAAAGTAAAATGATTGATATCCATAAAGACAATATTAATTTTGGTAATATTTTTTACTCAATCTCTCTGAATAAAATGAATTATATGGATTATATATTCCTTTCAGGGTTAATAGTGTCAGGACTTTTCCATTTTACAGCAGAATTGGAATATTGCTTCTTCAGCTGTATTTAAAATTCATATTCACACTTTACTATGTTCCTGTGTGAAGAATATTAACTTTCTAAAACTCCACCAGTCTGTACTCACTTTGCATGATTATTACTCTGATAGGAAAAATCACCATGTTCGGTATTTTTCATAGGCCTTCAGGTCTTATTTTGGCTGGGCTTCAACAGAGCCCGTTCCCTGCTAATAAATCCCCCCACTCCATTCTCATTTGTCCCTTCTATGATCCCAGGGCGGCTGCAGGGGGTTTCAGGGTGAATAATTGTGAACTTGTGTTCTACAATCTCCTTTGGGCTCATTTAACACGGGAACACCCAGCTCTGAACCCTTCTGGTTTCACAGCTGTCTGAATCCCAGC